TGCTCTGTGGCATGTGGGATCTTCCTGGACCAAGACTTGAACCCGTGTCCCCTGCATTAGCAGGCAGATTCTTAACCACTGCGCCAGCAGGGAAGTCCCATACTGCCTGTTTTTGTGAATAAAGTTTTATTAGAACATTGCCATGCTCATTCATTTACGTATTGTCTATGGCTGTTTTCATGCTGCAAAGGCAAAAATGCATAGTTGGGACAGAGACCATACAACCTGCAAGTCTAAACTATTCACCATCTGACCTTTATAGGAAATGTTTCCCAACCTCTCCTTCAGAGACAGATTCAACTGCTTATACAGCACCTCATCGAACTAGCATCATGGCAATATTAAAAAATACAGCTTATAATGATCATGATTACATATATGAAGAGCACCACGTGGGAATCAGTTCCAACACGCTGTCGTGAATACTTTCTTAGGAAAGGGAGGAGAAAGAACACTGTCAGCTTGAATGTTCCAAAGGGATTACATTCATATCTCTACTTGTTAGATTAATCACCAACTAGCTGCTAATGTAATAAATGTGATTTAGGAGTTAAAAAGCCTATCTCTCCACAAAGTGAATTGCATTAACAGTAGACAAATAGTTACTTCTTGTAAGCCTCGTCTATTTTATATGTGGCTCTCATGAAGCCTACTTCTCAGATTTCAAGGACTCTGGGTTTCCGTCCTGAATAGATAGCTGCTGGTTTCCTGGACAGCATTGGAAAGAGGAGTTTAAAATGACAGAAAATGACAAAAAAGGGACATTATCTGTCATTGTGGTTTGCAAAAGTACTATTATACTCCACAATAGCAGTTCTCAAACTTTTTGGTCTCAGGACCCTTTTACACTTAAAAATTACTGAGGACACCAAGGAGCTTTTGTTTATGTGGATTATATCTGTCAATATTTTACCATATTATAAATTAAAACTGAGAAATTTAAAAAATATTCATTTGTTATATCATTTTAAAAGTAGTAAAGATAAACCTATGACATCATAATAAAAAATAACATTTTAATGGAAAATAATTATATTTTCAAAATGTATAAAATTGTCAGGAGAATGATATCATTTTACATCTTTGTAAATCAATTTAATGACTGAATCAATAGAAAGCAGCCGGATTCTCATATCTGTTGTTGCATTCAATCTGTTGTGATACTAGGCATCATGTAGCTTCTGGAAAGCCACTGTACACGTGTGACAGAATGAGAGTGAAGAAAGAAAATAATGTCCTAGTATTACTATGAAAATGGTTTTGACCTCATGCATTCTTCTGAAAGGGTCTTGGGACCTGGGACCACACCTTGAGGACTGCTGCCTTGTAGCATATGTACCCTCATCTTCCTCTTCTCTGGCTCCCAACTTCCCCAAAATACACGGGAACATAACCAAGTTCTCCACAGCCCAAGACCAGTCCAACTTGTATTCATTAACCCTCTTCCCTGAAGAAGATTTAGATTGTAGTTAGGCAACCTGATTGGGTCCCTCTCTGTTACTGATTATCTGTGAGTGTGTGTGTGTGTGTGTGTGTGAGACCTTTGGTAAGTCATTTCACATCTCTGAACCTCGATGTTCTCATACGTAAAAGAGAGCAATTGTATTAGGCAGAGCTTTCTACCAGAGGTATGTGGATACCTGGAGGTTACCAGAGTTACTGCAAGGGGAGTGGGGTTCCAGATCTCCATAACTATTGTCTGAATTGGATATAGTGTATTTTTCCCACATATTCATACTGCAATTTTTCAAATGTATACATATAGTTGCTCTCATGATACTAATTGGAAAATGTTTTAAATTAAGAGATTTGTTTATTTCAGTGGCTTTTAGTCATGGTCTATTTTCTCAATTAATATAAGATTAACTGTTAACATGCAGGTAGCTACACCCTCATTTAGTGCTAAAGGCTAGAAGGAGGTCCTCCTTGGGAACCTCTGGGAACGCTTTTACCAGCTGTGACATGAAATAATTGAAAGCAGCCGGATTCTCATATCTGTTGTATTCTCATATCTCATATCTCTGTATTCTCATATCTCTCATATCTATTCTGAATCTATCACAAAAATACTGTGGCAGGTTGATTTTCTACTACAATGTCCACTGTCCACACGCTTTTCTACATTATGACTCCCCCATCAAGGCATGGAGTCGCTCTCCTCCCCTCAACTCTGGGCTGCCTTATGACTCACTTGCATGACTTTGAAGGCTAGGTCAGAAAAGGCCACACAGATTTTCCTTGCTTCTCTTGGGATGTTCTCTTTGGGAAAAGCCAGCCACAATGTAGAAAGTGTGACAAACCTAAGACCACCATGAAGGCAGTCTAGCTGACCGAGCTGGTGGAGCCAAGCCTTCCAGCCATCCCATGTGCCAGGCATGTGAGTAAAGCTCCTCCACCAGCTGAGTATAACTGAAGAATTGCCCAGCTGAAACCTGCCTGAATTTCTAACCTCAAAATTATGACATATAATAAAGTAGTTGTTAGTATAATTTGCCCGGTTTTGAGGTGGTTTGTGATGCAGCAACACATAACCGGGCAGCAGTGTCTTTGTGTAAGTAATCCGGCCTTGCTGAGCCTCTGTTTCCTGAAGAGGTTGTGTGAGATGATCTTCATGGTACCATCTTGCTCCTCAACTCTATAACTTTGCCCTCTCTCCACTTGAGACCATTCACCCCCCAGTCCACTGGAGCAGTGGCCTCTGTTTTGGTCTGAACAGGGTCCGCTCCCCTCTGGGTGACTGAGTCTGGGAAAGATACCACCATATTATGGAAGACCTGGGGTCTCCAGCTCCATGATATTGGGGTCTCAGCAATGAGCAGTTGAGGGCCCTGGACAATCAGCACAGCTGAGGGTGGGAACGGCCATCGAGAACCACGGTAAGTGCTGCATGGGGCTCTTTCAGTTCTGTGAGCAAGCAAGCACTCATTTGAATGAAGGGAAACTGCTCAAACACCTTAGAGCCAATGTACCCACTAACAAACCCCCATAGCCCCTTGCATTATAACATAAGTCAGCTAGAGGACATGACTAAGTGGAAAGAAGCCATTATAAGCCATTAAGTGAGTAGCTTAAAACTGCAACACACTGACCCAATGGCTTATAATTGTCACCAGGAAAGATGCTACAAAGCAGTCTGGTGAATTATTCTGAAACTTGAAGATGACGGGAGAGAAAGAGCATGGTGATCACAGGAAGTGAGGGATAAGAGATTACACCCCACAGAAATCAACGCACTCTACAGTTCCCAGCACCTCGCTCACCTAATGTCTAAAGGTAGCAGTTTGTGAAAGTGTCACACAATCCCTTCAGGACAAAAAAAATCCAAATATAATTCTTTCTTAAGAACAAAGTCTTTCCTAATGTCCCCAGGCAGAATGGATTAACCTTTTCAGGATTCTCTGATTGTGTATCATCCTCTTATGGCTCTAGTATCATTATATCACTTGTTGTTTAAATTGATTTGTCACTTAGATGGTGAATTCCAGGTTGTGGGTGTAAAAGTAGTTCAAAGTGTGCCCTTTTCCCACCAACTGATGCATAACAAGCATACAACAAAGGTTTGGTAAATGAATGATGAACGAGTGGATAAATGAACAAATAAGAGAGTGAATTAATGAATGCATAAATGGACTGAGTACTTTTTGTAGGTGAAAATGAACTATGCCAGGATATAAACTGCTGCTTAAGGCTATGGGGAATTGCTTGAGTGCTTTACCTTTTTTCAGCCTAATGCCTGTAAGCAATTGTTTGAAAAAGCAGTCCCACATCCCCGTATCGCCTCTTCCTTAGTTGTATGCTTGGAAAATGGAGTCCTTTGTGAATACATTTATGGATATGATGTGCTTTTTGACTCAAGGATATGGTTGGAGGGAAATAATAAATATATGGTGAGGTTGGAGAGGAAATTTTTTTTAAAGGGGTGGAGACTGTTGAACTTTTTCTGTATATACAAGATTAATATGGCCTGTGATAGGGTGGAAGTTGTGAGATACAACAGAAAGAGTACAGATGGGAGTCAGACTGACATGGAACTGAGTCCTCAGTTTTACCACCAACTAGCGGGGTATGGTGGCCATGAGCATGTGCTTTGCAGACCTCCTACTCCAGGGAGTGTAACCTACCATGGACCCCAGCTGCTGTGCTCCGAAATCCAGCCCTGCCCTCAGTCCGAGGCCAGGCTGCCTTTGGGCTGCTCCCAGGCAGTGCTGTGTGTGCAGGGGATATAAAGGCACTCATGGGAGACAAAGGACTCTCTTGCTGGCTAATTTTTGCTCTAGGACTCCTTGATGGCCTTGTGGAACCTTCCTTAGACTACATGGCATTGCAGGAGCTGCCACTTCTCTCCTGCTCTCCTTTACTTATATTCAGACTTACATTGTGGTCTGTCAGCTCTCCCAGATTTCCTCCCAATGTTCCCTACACACGCATTTCTTCTAATAAAATCCTTGCATTGTTAGCCCTGTCTTGTTGTCTCTTTCTTGGACTATCTGGATAACACATGGAGTGACCTTAGACAATTACTTCATCTTTGAATCTGTTTCTTCACCAAGGTCTAAACAGGGTTAATAATACCTGTTACATGGGTGCTATAAGAATGACTAACTGTGATCATACTTGAAAGGCTCTTAACTAGGTACCTGGCAAATATAGATGCTTAATAAATGTCACTTTTCTTCCCTTTCACATCTCCTCTTTTCCTTTGAAAAGTTCCTAGCACTGGGGTTAAATTGCATTTACTTATGCACATATGACCTGTGGCATTTGGGAAGAAATGAAGTCTTAGTGTAATAAAGTGGTCCTGTTTTAATTATTGTCCTTCCCACTTCTCATTAACTGCTTCTCAATTTGGGGGAAGCTTAACTTTGCAGACCTCTCTGAAATCTTTGATGTGTTTAATAATGTGAGTTGAAAGGGAAAAAATAGCTGTGAGGGAGAACCTTATTAACTTTGTGTGCTAGTTTTATTACTACCTTCAATAAAGCTGATGCCAAACACTTTACCTTGTCATCCAGTTTCCGTGCGTTGAAGGCAAGTTCAACGTAGTCATCATTGCCAGATAATTCCTCAGCAATCACCTAAAGGAAAAAGGACACATCAGGTGCAGTGGCAGTTGGACAACTAAGCCCAGGATTTCATGAACAATTTAGCTCATGTTTGATCCAAAAATCAACAAAGACTGACATTTGGCATGGAGTTTCCCACAACACAGTAAAGATGGTACAGCATCAACAGGTGTACAGGGAACTCCCTAGAACAGACCACAGAAGATAACTAGATCTCATCTGTGCTGAGCATGAGAACATGAGATATGGGGTGTAAGCTAAGGGAAGAGGTTTTGGAGGAGCAATTAGGAAGAGCTTCTTCCTTCAAAGGTCACACAGCACTGAATGGCACATCCATATAATTATATACATTTTCTTCTTTGGGAAGTGACAAAAAAGGAGGAGCAGGCAGCAATATTTCTTCACTCTTTTGAATCACACCAACAAGGGATGGGGAATAAACTGGTCTCTACATCCTTTCCAGACCAACAATCATAAGGTCATCAAAGAAATGTTCTAATTCCACTGTTTCAAAAAGACTGTCCTTGGGCTTTGAGTGAGAGAGAGAGAGAGAGAGAGAGAGAGAGAGAATAAGGAACTAAACCCTTAACTCTCAAGAACAGAAAATTTCTGACAAAGACTTTGACATAAGTGAAGAGATAATAACCTATCATCCTTTTTCATAAAATATCACTTGCCAATATTGAATAGTGACTCTCAAAACCTTGGAACAGAAACTGGTGGAAAAGAAGTGAGGAGACAGGCCTGAGGAGCAGGGGCGGGAGGTTCGAGACTAAGGTGGTGCGAGAGCCATGTGGAGGACAGGATCTTGGGGCTCTAGCCAGGTGTCAGGGCTATGCCACTGAAGTGGAAGAGCCAAGTTCAGGACACTGGCCCACAAGAGACCTACCAGCTCCACGTAATATCAAATGGCAAAAATCTCCCAGAGATCTCCATCTCAATGCCAAGACCCAGCTCCACTCAATGAACAGTAAGCTGCACTGCAGGACACCCTATGCCAAAAAACTAGCAAGACAGGAACACAACCCTATCCATTAGCACAGAGACTGATTAAAATCATAATAAAGCCACAGACACCCCAAAACACACGTGGACTTGACCACCAGAAAGACAAGAACCAGCCTCATCCACAGAACACAGGCAATAGTCCCCTCCACCAGGAAGCCTACACAACCCAATGAACCAACCTTAGCCACTGGGGACAGACACCAAAAACAATGGAAACTACGAACCTGCAGCCTGCGAAAAGGAGATCCAAAAAACAGAAGGTTAAGCAAAATGAGAAGACAGAGAAACACACAGCAGATGAAGAAGCAAGGCAAAAACCCACCAGACTTAACAAATGAAGAGGAAATAGGCAGTCTACCTGAAAAAGAATTCAGAATAATGATAGCAAAGATGATCCAAAATCTTGGAAATAGAATAGAGAATATACAAGAAACCTTTAACAAGGACCTAGAAGAACTAAAGAGCAAACAAACAGTGATGAACAACACAATAAATGAAATTAACAATTCTCTAGAAGGGATCAATAGCAGAATAACTGAGGCAGAAGAACAGAAAAGTGACCTGGAAGATAGAATAGTGGAAATAATTACTGCAGAACAGAATAAAGAAAAAAGAATGAAAGGAATTAAGGACAGCCTCAGAGACCACTAGGACAACATTAAACAAACCAACATTCGAATTATAGGGGTCCCAGAAGAAGAAGAGAAAAACAAAGGGACTGAGAATATATTTGAAGAGATTATAGTTGAAAACTTCCCTAATATGGGAAAGGAAATAGTTAATAAAGTCCAGGAAGCACAAAGAGTCCCATACAGGATAAATCCAAGGAGAAACATGCCAAGACACATATTAATCAAACTATCAAAAATTAAATACAAAGAACATATATTAAAAGCAGCAAGGAAAAAACAACAAGTAACACATAAGGGAATCCCCATAAGGTTAACAGCTGATATTTCTGCAGAAACTCTGCAATCCAGAAGGGACTGGCAGGACATATTTAAAGTGATGAAGGAGAAAAACCTACAACCAAGATTATTCTACCCAGCAAGGATCTCATTCAGATTTGATGGAGAAACTAAAACATTTACAGACAAGCAAAAGCTAAGAGAACTCAGCACCACCAAACCAGCTTTACAAGAAATGCTAAAGGAACTTCTATAGGAAGGAAGCACAAGAGAAGGAAAAGACCTACAATAATAAACCCAAAACAGTTAAGAAAACAGTAATAGGAACATACATATCGATAATTACCTTAAATGTAAATGGATTAAATACTCCAACAAAAAGACACAGACTGGCTGAATGGATACAAAAACAAGACCCGTATATGTGCTGTCTACAAGAGACCCGTTTCGGACCTAGGGACACATACAGACTGCAAGTGAGGGGATGGAAAAAGATATTCCATGCAAATCGAAATCAAAAGAAAGCTGGAGTAGCAATTCTCATATCAGACAAAATAGACTGTAAAACAAAGACTAGTACAAGAGACAAAGAAGGACACTACATAATGATCAAGGGATCAATCCAAGAAGATATAACAAACGTAAATATTTATGCACCCAACATAGGAGCACCTCAATACATAAGGCAAATACTAACAGCCATAAAAGGGGAAATCGACAGTAACACAATCATTGTAGGGGACATTAACACCCCACTTTCACCAAGGGACAGATGATCCAAAATGAAAATAAATAAGGAAACAAAGCTTTAAATGATACATTAAGCAAGATGGACTTAATTGATATTTGTAGGACACTGATCCAAAAACAAAAGAATACACATTCTTCACAAGTGCCCATGGAATATTCTCCAGGATAGATCATATCTTGGGTAAAAAATCAAGCCTTGGTAAATTTAAGAAAACTGAAATCGTATCAAGTATCTTTTATGACCGCAATGTGATGAGACTAGATATCAATTATAGGAAAAAATCTGTAAAAAATTCAAAAACATGGAGGCTAAACAATATGCTTAAATAACGAAGTGATAACTGAAGAAATCAAAGAGGAAATCAAAAAATACCTAGAAACAAATGACAATGAAAACACGATGACCCAAAACCTATGGGATGCAGCAAAAGCAGTTCTAACAGGGAAGTTTAGAGCAATACAATCCTACCTTAAGAAACAACTGAAATAAACAACCTAGCTTTATACCTAAAGCCATTAGAGAAAGAAGAACAAAAATACCCCAAAGTTAGCAGAAGAAAAGAAATCATATAGATCAGATCAGAAGTAAATGAAAAGGAAATGATGGAAATGATAGCAAAGATCAATAAAACGAAAAGCTGGTTCTTTGAGAAGATATACAAAATTGATAAACCATTAGCCAGACTCATCAAGAAAAAAAGGAAGAAGACTCAAATCAATAGAATTAGAAATGAAAAAGGAGAAGTAACAACTGACACTGCAGAAATACAAAGGATCATGAGAGATTACTACAAGCAACTCTATGCCAATAAAATGGAGAGCCTGGAAGAAATGGACAAATTCTTAGAAATGCACAACCTTCTGAAACTGAACCAGGGAGAAATAGAAAATACAAACAGACCAAACACAAGCACTGAAATTGAAACTGTGATTAAAAATCTTCCAACAAACAAAAGCCCAGGACCAGATGGCTTCACAGGAGAATTCTATCAAACATTTAGAGAAGAGCTAACACCTATCTTTCTCAAACTCTTCCAAAATATAGCAGAGAGAGGGACACTCCCAAACTCATTCTACGAGGCCATCATCACTCTGATACAAATGCCAGACAAAGATATCACAAAGAAAGAAAACTACAGGCCAATATCACTCATGAACATAGATGCAAAAATCCTCAACAAAATAGTAGCAAACAGAATCCAACAGCACATTAAAAGGATCATACACTATGATCAAGTGGGGTTTATCCTAGGAATGCAAGCATTCTTTAATATACGCAAATCAATCAACGTGATACACCATATTAACAAATTGAAGGAGAAAAACCATATGATCATCTCAATAGATGCAGAGAAAGCTTTTGACAAAATTCAACTCCCACTTATGATAAAAACCCTCCAGAAAATAGGCATAGAGGGAACTTTCCTCAACATAATAAAGGCCATATATGACAAACCCACAGCCAACATTGTCCTCAATGGTGAAACACTGAAATTATTTCCACTAAGATCAGGAACAAGACAAGGTAGCCCACTCTCACCACTATTATTCAACATTGTTTTGGAAGTTTTAGCCACAGCAATCAGAGAAGAAAAAGAAAGAAAAGGAATCCAAATTGGAAAAGAAGTAAAGCTGTCACTGTTTGCAGATGACATGATACTATACATAGAAAATCCTAAAGATGCTACCAGAAAACCACTAGAGCTAATCAATGAATTTGGTAAAGTAGCAGGATACAAAATTAATGCACAGAAGTCTGTTGCATTCATATACACTAATGATGAAAAATCTGAAATTGAAATTAGGAAAACACTCCCATTTACCATTGCAACAAAAAGAATAAAATATCTAGGAATAAACCTACCTAAGAAGACAAAAGACCTGTATGCAGAAAATTATAAGACACTGATGAAAGAAATTAAAGATGTTACAAAGAGATGGAGAGATAGACCATGTTCTTGGATTGGAAGAATCAGCATTGTGAAAATGACTCTATTACCCAAAGCAATCTACAGATTCAATGCAATCCCTATCAAACTACCACTGGCATTTTTCACAGAACTAGAACCAAAAATTTCACAATTTGTATGGAAACACAAAAGACCCCAAATAGCCAAAGCAATCCTGAGAAAGAAAAACAGGGCTGGAGGAATCAGTCTCCCTGACTTCAGATTATACTACAAAGCCACAGTAATCAAGACAGTATGATACTGGCACAAAAACAGAAACATAGATCAATGGAACAGGATAGAAAGCCCACAGATAAACCCATGCACATATGGTCAACTTATCTTTGATAAAGGAGGAAAGAATATACAGTGGAGAAAAGACAGTCTCTTCAATAAGTGGTGCTGGGAAAACTGGACAGCTACATGTAAAAGAATGAAATTAGAACACTCTCTAACACCATACACAAAAATAAACTCAAAATGGATTAAAAACCTAAATGTAAGGACAGACACTATCAAACTCATAGAGGAAAATATAGGCAGAACACTCTATGGCATAAATCACAGCAAGACCCTTTTTGACCCACCTCCTAGAGAAATGGAAATAAAAACAAAAATAAACAAATGGGACCTAATGAAACTTAAAAGCTTTTGCACGGCAAAGGAAACCATAAACAAGACCAAAAGACAACCCTCAGAATGGGAGAAAATATTTGCAAATGAAGCAACTGACAAAGGATTAATCACCCAAACATACAAGCAACCCATGCAGCTCAATATCAAAAAAACAAACAACCCAATCCAAAAATGGGCAGAACACCTAAATAGACATTCCTCCAAAGAAGATATACAGATTGCCAACAAACACATGAATCAAACATCATTAATCATTAGAGAAATGAAAATCAAAACTACAATGAGATATCATCTCACACCAGTCAGAATGGCCATCTTCAAAAACTCTACAAAATAAATGCTGGAGTGGGTGTGGAGAAAAGGCAACCCTGTTGCACTGTTGGTGGGAAAGTAAATTGATACAGCCACTATGGAGAACAGTATGGAGATTCTTTAAAAAACTAAAAATAGAACTACCATACGACCCAGCAATCCCACTACTGGGCATATACCCTGAGAAAACCATAATTCAAAAAGAGTCATGTACCAAAATGTTCACTGCAGCTCTATTTACAATAGCCAGGACACGGAAGCCACCTAAGTGTCCATCAACAGACGAATGGATAAAGAAGATGTGGCACATATATACAATGGAATATTACTCATCCTTAAAATGGAACAAAACTGAGTTATTTGTAGTGAGGTGGATGGACCTGGAGACTGTCATACAGAGCAAAGTAAGTCAGAAACAGAAAAGCAAATACCGTATGCTAACGCATATATATGGAATCTAAAAAGAAAATGAAGAGAAATGGTCAGAAGAACCTAGGGGCCAGATGGGAATAAAGATGCAGACCTACTAGAGGATGGACTTGAGGATATGGGGAGGGGGAGGGGGAAGTTGGGAAGGAGTGGGAGAGTGGCATGGACATATGTGCATTACCAAGCGAAGATTGATGGGATGGGAGGCAGCCGCATAGCACAGGGAGATCAGCTCGGTGTTTTGTGACCACCTAGAGGGGTGGGATAGGGAGGGTGGGAGGGACAGATATGCAAGGGGAAGTAGATATGGGGACGTATGTGTATGTATAGCTGATTCACTTTGTTATAGAGCAGAAACTGGCACACCATTGTAAAGCAATCATACTCCAATAAAGATGTTAAAAAAAAAAAAGAAGTCAGTAGAAAAACAACAATAACAACAATGAAAATATAAGGCCCAGTGTAGCTGCATATAGGTTAAACCACTGCTAAATCATGTTAGGACTTCACCATGCATTCGGAGGCCGTAATGTGTTGACACCCTTATCAAATTTGTTATGTGGAGACACTGAGCTTTAATTAAATTTTATCTCCTTTCTATCTGAGATCAACTTTTCCATTATGAGTTGGGTTCATCTGTTCTGAGTACACATTGGTAGCCTCTGGAAATTTTTATTTTATGCATAATATTAAAGCTAAAAGAGTTGTCTAAATAGGGAAGGATCCTTCCAAACGTGTGAGCACCTGAAGAGTAGGGAACATGGGTCCAGATACATAGTGAAAACTGAAGAACTACTTGATAAACCAGAAATCATCATATTTACATTTTTCATTCAATTCTCTTTTGTCCCATATCATCTTACACTCCACTTGAGCTGAGGTCTTTAACTATTTTGTGGTTACAGACACCTTTGGAAAGATCATGAAAGTTATGACCTCCGTTTGCAAAGTCTAGAAAATTTTGCATATACTTTTAAGTGTTTTCCAGAAGTTATGGAAGCCATTGTTCTGATCCAAGGACACAAGATTCAGAGTATTTAAATATTTAAAATTAGGAAGGAGGTTAAGTTTTTCTGGGCTTTGTAGAGAAAGGAAATTCCCAAGAAGTCTTAGAGAAAAGTGACAAGATGAGCTTTTGTTCACCTGCGAAAGAACCGTGGCAGATCTCACACCTGGGTTCACCATCCCAAGTCTTATCTAGGATTGTGGGCTTTGGTAGTGAGCCCGTGGGTCCCTGGATTTTTAGAGCACCAATGGCATCTTTAAAGACCGTTTGAACCATTTGTTCATGATTGAACATGGCAGTCAAGAATAAGCTCTGACATGACTGTGTCATTTTAAAATTTAATATTCAAGCCAACAAACTCAGCTAAGTGCTTGTGAGAATGGTCCTAACTTTCACCAGTGGAAATAAAATATTTTTGAATTTTTCCTTTAAAAAATGGCTTAAATTTTTAAAAAATGAATCAGTCACTTTCTAGTTAAAAAGGAATGTTCAGAGGAACTTAGGAGGTTTTCCTCCCGAGACAATCTGCCTTGCAATCAATTCAGATTCTCCTGGTACTTTTTTCTACCTATTACTATTATTTTTTGTCCACACAGCTAAATGGTTAGACTATCTTTCTTAAGGGCGCTAATACAAGATGCCAAAGTTTCAAATACTGGAGTTCTACTTGAACATTTAATATTTTATTTAGAAATACTTCCAGTATTGCCTTATAGAACATTCTGCAATGAAAGAAATGTTCTGTAATCTGCACTGTTCAATATAGCAGTGGCCAGCCACATGGAACTACTGAGCACTTGATACATGGATAGTGGAAGGAATGACTATTTGATTTTATTTAATTTTAAGTTCAAATAATCACATGGCTACCAAATAGAACAGTGCAGTTCCAAACTATTATATTAGAGAGGAGAGTTAAATGCTGGGCTCTCTCATCCTCAGGCAACAGACCAAACCTTGGACTAAATGATATTAGAGCATTTTTTTTTTTCTCAAGAAACTGAGAAACAGGGACAGGTAGCTTTTTTTGGCAGGGGGCTGCGGGGGGATAGGTAGCTCTGATGATTTGAAAACTCCAGGCAATTCTGTATTCTTACTGTGCTCAATAACTCCATCTTTGTCCCCTGCTAAAACCTATATTTAATTACAGAAGTGCTTAGTTGAAGTGAATGGCCTCACTTTCAAATCCTTTTTCGTACAATAGAAAGGTCAAAATTGTATTGTCAGGAAGGATAAAGATGGAAAAAAGAAAGGGCAACTGGGACAGTTGAGCAGTTGTGGGTTCAACTCCCAACATCCAGAGGGTCAGCTTCCCACGTGGCTGGGTCGGACCAGCCAGCTCCATTTTGGGCGCCTGGGCAGGTGGCTGCTTAGGGAGGGCTCACCGTGATGGAGGATTTCCCTGCCGTGTTCCCGTGCTTCAACAAGGATTTGGACAGCTTTCTCTGGGAAACAATCTGTACAAAAGGAAACACAAGGTGGAGATACTAGTCATATACTTGCAGGTATACTCTTTAGTATTTCCCTTACAAAATTTTGCACTTACAGCTCTCCTTGAAATTATGACATCAATGTTCATTTATTTTCCAAGGTTCTTCGACAAACCTCTCCTAAATACAGGTCATTCCCTTCTTTCCTCTTATGGCTTGTGCTGTAAGTGTGAGTGTGTAAGGGATTACAGATAATTCAGTACTAATGGAGGTGGCTTAATCATTGCTGAGACATTTATATTAAAATTAGACAAAACATGTTGGATATGTACATTAACATAAAGGAGATGAAGTTTCAGAATGATCTCAAATTAGCACTAAAACCTCTGTGCAGAGTGGAGGATGGAGTGAAGGGAGGAAAGAAACTCAAGGTCTAAATATACACTTCCTGTATCGATAACGTCTAGAGTTCTATTTTTACTATATTCAATAGGAAGCAATAAAGTAAGTCACGAGGAGACTGATGCTCAGACAAGCCAAAAGGAGTAACTGGGGTCCTCTCCACTGGGAGCTATTCTCAGCAGAACCTGCCCCATCCCCTCTTGTTTTCTTTTCTGAAAGGGAAAGATGGCAAGGCAGTGAGGCCCTGATGGGCCTGCACCCCATGATTCCCCAGGATTCCCCAAGGAGACAAGGCTTAAAAGACTAAAGTGAAAGCCGTGCTCTGCTCTCGGCAGAGGGAGAGCATAGTCCTCTGCTGTGGGCGGCAGCTTCTATCTGGATGGCCCCAGTGATCCCCACTTCCTGGTGTTCTTGCCATTGTGTAATTCCCTCCCCTTGAGTGTTGGGTGGATCCAGTGATTTGCTTCCAATGAACAGAATACTACAAAAGTGATGGGACATCACTTCAGGGATTAGGTTCCAAAATCACTGACTTCCTTCTTGCTCATCATCTCTCATTCTCTCTCTTAGAGCCTTTGCTCTGGGGGAAGCAGGCTGCTAGGTTGTGAACAGCCCTGTAGGAGCAGCCCACATGGCCAGGAATTGATGTCCCCACTCAACAGCCAGTGAGAACCAGAGGCTAGCCAGCAGCCACACAACAGCCTGGAGCAGGTCCTCCCACAAGGTGAGCCTTGAGATAACTGTACCTCGACAGCAGCCTTGTGAGAGACCCTGGTCCAGAGGACCCAGCCACGCTGCCCCAACCCCTGACACACAGAAGTTGTGAGATAATAAGTGTTTGTTTTTAAGCTTTCAACTTTTGCAGTAATTTTTAATGCAGCAATTGGTAAAAGTACACATAAGAAAGGGAAGGAGATCACTGTGAAGAGTGGGGACATAAACCCATTCTCTGAAATCCTTATATATTTTGTCTCTGTGTTAGAGCAATAAAAATATTAGGAGTGTGCTAATATCAAATGCAAAAAGTTCAGAGACCTTCCCTAGGCCAAGCAGATTAAAGATCCTAATGTTCAGTCGGCTGCCGTCTGAAGAAGGAGTGCTGCTACAAAGAATCACCAGGTGATGATGATGATGTTGATGACATCAATGAGCGCAATGGGGACTCCCATGTAAGTATACAGACCATGTGGGAGGTGCCTTATTCATTCCAAAAATAATTATCTAGTCCCCAAAATATAACAAACTTGGTGCCAGGCACTAAGAATAGAGTGGTAAGCAAAGTCAGATGCAATAGCTGACCTCATGGAGCTTACATTTTAGTGGGGGAGATAGTAATAAACCAAAATGGTCAAACAAATATAACTTGTCACAAAGGAGACATGCACTGGCCATGGTGGGGACGATGAATGGGGTGACTGAGAGTGGACCACTTATGAATCTCCGGCAGCAGTACAGGTGAGAGGTAATAGTGGCTATGGAGATGGAGAGAAAAGACTGGATTTATGAGATAGTTAGGTGTAAAATAGTCAGAATTTGGAAATGGATTGAATACAGAGTGACTGGGAGGCATCCTAAAGTATCACTGGATCAGAGAGTTATGCCCTTCAGTGAGTTAAGAGTCACAAGAAGGGGAAATTAAATTGGAAGGCAAAGAGCAAAGTCTGGGGCAGGAAACAGACTGGAGTAGGTTGAAGAGGAGAGAAAGAGGAAGAAAATGGACAAGAAGAAAATTCTTTCAATGAGTTTGGCTATATAGTGGGGGAGAGAGAATAGACCCTGAGGGGAAGGAGAAATTCAGTAAGTTTTTTGTCTTAGTGGTTATTTTGTTGCTAACTTTACAGCCCCACAAATTTGGTGTTATTAATTTCCTTTTATAGAGGAGCAAAGTTAGACACAGGGAGTTTAAGTAACTTTCCTAAGGCCATAGAGCTAGGAGGGAGTGTGCCTGGGATTTGAACATAGGTCTGACTCCAGAAACTGATCTCCAGTTACATTATGACTGGTAAGCGAACTCCTAAAACAGGTTCAGAAAATGTGCACAGCTGGATTTGTACTACATGTGTTTGCTTTTAAGTCCTAGATCTCATGTTAGTGCTTAAGCCTCAATGTGTAATCATGGAGAAGATGGTAAAGAAATAATCAAGTTAAAGCTTAAGAATGAACTAATCTGGAGACACTGGCTTTGATTAAGTGCAGTGTAGCATAATGATTAAGAACATAGGTTTTTTATTTATAGTTGACTATCAATAAAATGACATGAAAAAATTCAGATGATAAAGGAATTGGCTTTCCTTTCCATAGTTAATTCTGAATTCTGAACTCACCTTTCCCACCCTACTCATTAAGAATGTTCCAGTGCTTTTAGTCCTATCGGCAAAATCATTATCCCACCCCCCCAATTCTCAGATTGTCACTTGTTCTAGAAAAGCTACCATTTCCTAGAATAACGTAGACATTATTTTTTAACTTGAGATAAACCAAAACACAGGAAACACAGAAGACAAACAGCAAAAGGACATTAGAAGGCTTTGTGGTTTCTCTCCAGGGGTTTTTCAGTGGGGAGTGGAAGGGAAGACACATGAATAGATGACAAAACATGGGTCACTGATAAGCAGTAGCCAGGTCAGTATCTCTCTAAAGAAAGGTAACAGATTTATTTGGGAACATTATATCCTGTTCCCAAATAAATCTGGCCTCAGAAATACTTTGGTCCACTGTTGCTGCGTTTCATCCGCATTGGTTACCTACCCCAATAACTCCAAGTGACCCCAACAACCTTGTCAGCCCTGAGATGATCCATGCATTGGGTTACCAGGTATTGGTAGACTGTCATTACAGACTGTGTCTTCCAAGATCCACATTCTCTTTCTTCAAGGAAGACCAAGGATGGTGCCAGGTGTTTCTCACTCTTTTTTAGAAATGCCAACGTTTCCATTTGTAGGGTCTGAAGAGGATGCTACCACATACCACCTCTTGCCTTTTACAAATGCTAGGAAGACAAGCAATTTCCCAGGAAATATTCCTTCTTAAGAAATGGTCATATGGGTAAATAAGTGGCTAATCAAGCAGGCATTCAAACAAACATTCTACAGCCCCAGGCCTCCAACTCAGCTCCAAAGAATGAGTAATAATCAAGGTTTCAAACCTTTCATTGTAATAATGATTGATAATGAGTTGCCATTGGCATTGCCATTCTTAGGACTTCGAGCAAAAATAGTAGGATGCCCAGCTGAAGCAGCGATCTATAGAGAAAAGTCTATTTGTTGCCAATTCCCTTCTCACACAGGCTTTGTTGCAGCTGAAGCAACTGCATCATACTCAAAAACAGCCTTAGGTCGTGTCAGAGGATGAGGGGTTTAGAGTGACAAGGACTTACACTTGTCCCAGCTGATACTGAGGCCAACAAATAGGCAGCATTTAACACTGGGCTAAAGGGGATGCACTTGTCAGAAGTCCTCTAATTTGATTCTTCTCACCCTATAGTGGGGTCACAGTTGCAACCCTTAGACTTCAACGGAAGGATGAAATATAGGGGGAGGAAACACTCTTATTAGCAAAGTCGAATCAGAGGGACATTAGCACCATCAAGTCCCTGATCTGCATTCACACATGGATCTGGGGAGGAAGTGCTTCTCTCCCTGTGAAGTGGGCGGTATTCTAACAGTAGGGATCCTCATTTTCAGGGAAGTCCACTGTTTCATTTAGATAAATGGGAACAAAACCAGGAGAATAAAAAACATTTTGGTCAATATTTCAACAAGTGTTTGTTCATCTGGACTTGCTTACAAAGACTTTCAAAACAGTCATTTTGGGAACTAGACATTCGTCTTTCATGAGATCTCTTTTACTGAAAATATCTTCAGATTATTTCTGGAAATTGCTTTAAGACTCCATTGCAAAAACAAACATTTATTGAACATCTTTTCTGTGCCAGGCACTGTTCTGAGATAACAGTGGTGGATACGTGAAAACATAATTACAATACTTGACATTCATACCTCTGTTAGCCAGAATTGATAATGCCCAAAGCATGTGTCAGAGAACTTTCATTTATTAAAAGGTAAGTAAATATTGTATGAAAAAGTCTTTGTGTAGATAAGTCTGGAAATCACACGATTAGAAAAAGTTTGACATCTTTAACTGCAGGATATTAACAGAGCTTTAGTTGTGAATCACCCTGAGCACAGCCATGGAAGGAGCATTCTTTATACTTTTTTGACCCCAGAATCTTTTGTCAAGGAGCATCCCTGGTGTTCTGAAAACTAGCAATTACTACTCCCATCACTACAGGGTACAACCAAGGGCTCCTGATGACTCCTGTAGCAACAGAGGGGGACAGGTCCAGGTCCTCTCAGGCCTGACTCTTGCACAGCTGGCTGGGCTCCCAACAGCCAGCATTGGCCTACAGGTTCTTCTGGAGTCTTTGCCCACTGTCCACAGGAACAGTAAGCTGAAAGGGGGGGGGGATTAACACCCTTGGGAGTGGAGTCAACCAACCGATGGGCTTTGGCACAGAAATCTCCCAGCTCCTTTAGCCCAGGGATGGGGGTAACTCTGCGGTGTTTGTTCTGCACAGAAGCTGAGTTTTCCCAGTGGATGGAGCTCCAGTTACTCCCAGTGGTGAT